ATAAACTGATCACAAGCTGGGGTCAAGAATATAAAATACACAAGGGTTTATTCCTCCCTTTAGAGCAGGGGTAGGCAACCTATGGAACGTATGCTGAATGTGGCATGCGTGCTGATTTTCAGTGGCACTCAGACTGCCCGGGGCCTGGCCACCGGTCCAGGGGGCTCTGCATTTTAATTTAATTTTAAATGAAGCTTCTTAAACATTTTAAAAACCCTATTTACTTTACATACAACAATAGTTTAGTTCTATATTATAGACTTAGAGAAAGAGACCTTCTAAAAACAATAAATGTATGACTGGCACGCAAAACCTTAAATTAGAGTGACTAAATGAAGACTTGGCACAGCACTTCTGAAAGGTTGCCGACCCCTGGTCTATGTTCTACACTCACCAGGGATTTCCAGGAGAAGCAGCAGCACCAAGCATGGAAGAGACAATCCAGACACAGGGGTCGACAGAGCCATTTTGTTGTCAGAGGGCGACCTTTCAACACCGCTGCCTTTGCCAGCTCTCCCTTGTCCAAAGAGATACTGAGAAGTTTGAAGTTCAGGATCAGACCTTCCCCTAATGCAGAAGGAAGTGGATTGCGTTAGTTATATTTCCCTATTCCACCTTTGTGCAGACTCAACTGTTTTTTCTGCACCATTAATTTTAATTCTCACAGCGAAGCGGCTGGTGATTCGTGTTCTCTCTTGAAGCCTCACATAATCCAGCCCTTCGACAGCCATGAGCTGAAGCATCCAGGCTAACGCTGCTGGGGTATTGAAGGGTGGAGAGAGGGGCCCTGGCAGAGCTGCTCTTTGGGAAGGGAATTCCCTGACAGTGTTGAAATCTCCCTCCCAAACACCAAACCAGAGCATTTACCAGCCACTGCATGTTCAGAAACACTGTCCACAGAAATGTCTGAAAACTGGGCCCAGAGACCCCTGTTCTGGAGCTAGTCCCTGGCGGTGACTGCTACCAGAGAGGCTCCTTCAATACACGCCTCAGTGGGCGGACGGCACATAGCCACTCCCAGCACCTGATCTGTTAATTAGAGATGGGCTGGGCAGGGAGAGGGTGGATCTGGATTAAGTCTGGGCTGGAGTTTGGCTTTGGGAATTAGTTTGGATCCAGTTTGGATGAGAGGAGAAAGAAGGTCTGTGCTAAAAGCACTGGACTGGGATACAGGAGAGGTTCAATTATCTGTGACCCTGGGGAAGTCGCTGAGTCCTTCAGGGCCCTCGTTCCCATCTTGAAATTGCCCTTTTTCTGATTTGGCTAGTTCCATGGTGTCAAGGCTGATTCCCCACTCTGCACTTCGAGTGCAGAAGGGGTGGGGGGGCCACAAGGATTCTAAAAATTAATACTGGTCACTTCAGGCTGGTATTAAACTCCCAAGGTTACAGCTTCTCTCTGCCCTTGGATGGGTAGATGCTGCCCCCACTGAAATGCAAAAAAACCCCTTTTGAGAACCCAGGAAGGCGCACTTGGGAATTCCTTCCTGGGGGGTACCCTCAAGCCCTTTCACCCCCCCTCCAAGGAAGAGCTGAGAATGAAAAACAAAGGAAATCAGCTGTTGCCACCAGCTAGTTAAAAAAGCATGTGCACAAACCTCTTAGGGACAGAAAAATCCAATCCTGGTCTTAAAAAAGGTCAATGTTATTAAAAACAAAAAGAAAAAATACATCTGGAACTTAGGCTTTTGCTGGATCTTTAGCTTGTGGTTCAGCTCGAAGGTTACAAGCAAAACAAAAGCCCCTGGGGTTAGCCCAGAGCAATCCACAAACCAATAAGAAATAAAAGAAATAACCCAGATCAAGTCTTCCGACATTTTCCCTGCCTTATTTACATGTCTGGGGTTTCAGATCAGGGCCGGCTCTGACTTTTTTGCCGCCCCAGGCAAAAAAGCCTCCCACCGCCCCCGGCCGGGAGTGCGGCAGGGGAGGGCAGCGAGCCCAGCTACGGCCCCGCTCTCCCCGACCGGCCGGAGCGCCGGGGGGAGGGCAGCAAGCCCGGCCGCGGCCCTGCTTTCCCTGGCCGGCCGGAGCGCTGCTCCCCTCCAGGTGCCACCCCAAGCACATGCTTTAGGGTTACCATATTTAAAAAAATAAAAGAAGAGGACACTCCACGGGCTCTGACCCCGCCCCTTCCCCACCCCGGCCCCGCCCCAACTCCACCCATTCCCCAAAGTCCCCGCCCTAACTTGCTCCTCCCCTAACTCTTTGGCCCCATTTAAGAGCCAAGCTGCCCGAGCGCTACCAGCTTTGGGCAGCCCCCTTACCTCCGGACCCTGTGCCGCCGCAGCAGAGCAGCTGGAGCCCGGGAGGGGAAGTGCCCGGCTGGTATTTTTCCTGGACATGTTCAGCTTTTTGGCAATTCCCTCCGGACGGGGGTTTGAGTATCAAAAAGCCGGACATGTTCGTGAAAAACCGGACGTATGGTAACCCTACATGCTTGGTAGGCTGGTGCCTGGAGCCAGCCCTGTTTCAGATAAGTAATCTCTATGTCTGATCTGATGATTTTCATACCTAGCCTTTAGCATCTCACAGCATAAGTGCTACCCTATTCTGCTCTTCCCCAGAAAACCACAACACACAGACAAAGGGAAGTTGTTTCCCAATTTTAAAAAGTTCTAGACTTCCCATTGGCTCTTTTGGTCAGGTGCCCACTCCCTTCTTTTTACCTGTGGGCTTTTCTTTAACCTTTTACAGGTAAAGCAAGTAGAGAACAGCTACTAAGAGGGATTTTATAGCTAACTGGCTGGCTGGGTGTCTGTAAAAGGGAGCTACCCCCCTCCTTCATTTATGACAGATGGGAAATTATTTAGGGCAGGTAAGTGTCTCTTACACTGTGTTTGTACAGCACTTAGCACCATGGGGCCTAGATCCCGGCGGTGTGTGATGATAATTATTAAATAAATGGAGGCCGGCACTAAACCATGTCCCCCTCAACTTTTCCGTGGGTTAGGATTTGAGAGTCTGTTTTTGGTTTTGTCCCATTTCTAGTCTTAAAGCTCCATCAACCTCTGCTCCTCTGTATTTTCATCTCTGTGTCAGTTTGTGGAGAACTCGATCTCTCCCAAATGAGATCACAGGGAGCAGGGCAGGCACCCAAACTGAATTACACACGTCTTCGTTGTTTTCTGCTGTGATGTCTTTTCCTTTGGCAGCTGAATCCTCTGACCACAAACCTACAGCAGCACCAAGGGATCTCTGTGCGTCTGGCGTCCTGTTTGCATCTGTCCTGGTTCTGAGCGGCTTGATCAATGACGTCTGCCATGAAGCATTCCAGTGAGTACCCAGCAGCCAGGTGATGGGCTCTTTGGATGCAGTTCAGCGGGTTTAATGACTGGACAATGAAATCAGACAAGGGACGATGTCTGTGTTTTGGGGCAGACGGAGCTCGTCATCAGTGTATAACAAACGAATTGCTAGTGTGAACACAGATACAGGAATTGTGTCTCTCTGATTGTGTCCCTCTCCCCGAGCCGTTCCCATTGCACTGGTGTTCTCGGACTCTAAGCTCTTTGAGTCAGGGACCATGTATTTGTCTGTGTTTCTGCCAAGCCCGGCAGCGCTGACCCTGCCTGGGACGTGACCCTCAAACACATCAGTGTTATTGGACACATTTCCAGGGGCTTTTCTGCACAGCTCCCCTCTCAGTTTTCCCCCACGTCCATGAACACACACACCACTCAACACACACACGTCACACAGCAGGGCCACCCAGCCCTGCATTGCTGTGACCTCCCTTCTGCAGAGCTGGGCTGCATGGAGCCCCTCAGAGCTGCTAACAGCCCCCGGCTGGGTGTACAACACAGCAGCAAGAGATGTGGAGCCTGGAGGCGTTGCTGGGCCCGGCTTGATAAAGAGCAGCCGACACTGGCCAGAAAACTCTTGAAAAGCTGAGGAAGAAATTCCCCCCGTTCCCCGTCGCTGTGTCTCCTTTTCCTTATTTCCTGTCACTGAGGAGATCGGCCGGGAACGGGGGTTGGGGGTTGGGTTGGGCCAGGATCATCGGGCCCAACCCCCATTCCCATCCCAGTTCTCCTGGCCTCCCCGATCAACTGCTGCACGTGCGTGCAGAAGCAGCTACCGTCCAGGACTCTTAGAGCGACACGGTTCCTGCTTTCATGCAAATGCCCAGAGCTTAGAGATGAAAAAGGGGCAGAGAAATGCCCA